ACTATTTGAATTCTGGTGAATGACCACAGAAGGCAGAAATTAGAAGTGAGTCATTCTTTCTGGCAGAAGTTAAGACAGGAACCACTGCTTATAGTGACCACCCATAATACATACTATTAAAACTATATCATGAGCATACAGAGGCATATCTGTATGATTCACTAATGCAAAAGGGCTTGCATTCCAGTAATGAAAAACAGCCTCCTTGAGATTATTGTAATATAATATAATATAATATGCAGCAAAAGAAGGGTCAAGTCTTTAGTAATTAGGAACCTATATTAAGCTCTATGAAAACCAGCAGTAGGGATTGTCCAAGGAGTAAACTGGTTTGAACTGGTTTACAGGGCACAAGATTTCTCCCCTTTTTTCAGTCAGGGGTATTACCCTGAAACTCAGTTTCCCAGTAGAATGGTAACCCTATCCCCATTAAGGTCTTCAGGTTCTGGGCAGCTATCACTTATGTTCGGACTGCTTTGTGCCAAGCCACATTTATCCAAGCCACGCGAGGCCCTCTCGTGCTTGCCGCATTAAACAAGAGCACAAGGGATGTCATAGTCCTTCTGCCGGCTGAACTCACCTCAGTGAACGCACCCCAGCCCAAACCTGCCTCTCTGAAAACACTGAGTGACTGGGAGCTTGGTACACCTGCTGATCTCGGGAGTGGTGCATCCTGTTGTTTACCCAAATCTGTTAGGAGACAAGGCCCTATAAGCCATAAAATAAAAAAATTGATTAGAACTCAGAGAATGTTGTAACAGTTGTTTTCTTGGACAAAACACCGAAGGAATCGCCCCTTTCCCCCATAGCTATAGCCTAAAGGAAGATAAATCTATAACTTATCTCTCACACACTTTCCTATAGATTATTATTAATCCACAGTTTTCCTTATTTCTCCTCCATCCATTGTTGGGGGGAAAGCAAATGATTGGTTTGTTGTTTCTACAGTTGCTGTTTATAAGAGTTTGTTGTCAGTTGTGTTATTTTATTTTTTAAACATATTTTATTGATTATGCTATTACAGTTGTGCCAATTTTTCCTCCTTTGCCCCTCTCTGCCCAATACCTCCACTCCCTCCAGAAATCCCCCTTTAGTTCATGTCCATGAGTCATGCATATAAGTTCTTTGGCTTCTCCATTTCCTATACTATTCTTGACATCCTCCTGTCTATTTTGTACCTACCAACTGAAACAAGGAAGGGCTTAGGATAAAAGAAGCAATAGGAGAGAGCCTAGGTGGGGCTGCTTTGGCTCATTGAGAACTCAGAAAAAATGGACCGTGGAGACAGGTTCAGGGGTTCGGCCTGAGATGGGCTGCCATGTCCACCCAAGACCTCAGCTCCTGCTAGCTGGTCCTCTCCGCACAGCCCTCTGTGTCTCCAGTTCCAGAAACCAATCCCTCCCCTTGATATCAGGGACGGCTCTGCTACTCGCCTCTAGGTGCTACATTATGTATGCCTTACTGCTTTCCTAAATCCATCTTATACCTTTGTTTTTACTCCCTTCATTAAACCCTCCTTGAATAATCACAATTTGAATGTGCAGTCTTTTTCATGCCAGAACCCTAATTAATAAAACAACGATCTCTAAGGCTGAGTATCATTAAGAGTTTCAGCTGTGGTTCTCAAGCAGTTTGATTCTTTTACCAGTGGGACATTGAAGAGAGTGAAAAAATAAGGCTGAGGCCAAACACATACCTAGCACAAAGCTTGGTACACTCTTGCTGAAATATAGACAATTTTTGCCTCTTGAGTTTATAAGTGTGCACACACAGAGCAACAAATTGTGCTGCTCAAACAGCAGCACAAGGCTGAAGGGTGACCAGGGGAGTAGCATATGAATATAGATGGATGCTTTTATTAACAAGGCCATACTGCAGCAGTGATTGGTTATAACCATCTTTGGCTTTCTTAGTGTTTATTAAGTCTTTTTAACAGCTTCAAACTTAACACCAAAGTTACAATATTTGAAATAGTGCCTTGAACTAAAAAACATCAAGGATCTCTAAGCTTAGTGTTTAAGCCTTTGATAATACTTATTGCTTAAAGTCTTAGAAATTAGGATTAAAGTGCATATTTTTTGGAAGAAGTAATATTAATAAGTTAAATGCATAACACAATGGTTCTCAAATTTAAGAGTATATAAGAACCATCTCAGAAGCTTGTTAAAAACATAGATTCCTGACCCATACTCCAAAGATGCTTTTTTTTTTCATTCAGATATGGACTATAAACTCCTTGTTAAATAAGTTCTCTAGAGAATTCTGATACAGACCACATGCATTAGGTATTTATTGGTATGTAACAAATTACCCAGACTTAGTAACTTAAAACAACACATATCTATTATCTCACAGTTTCTGACAGTCAAGAATTCTAAAGTGACTTAGTGGGATGTTATTGCCCTATGATCTCTCATGAAGTTGTATTTAAGCTGTTAACAGAGGCTGTGGTCCTCTCAAGGCTCAGCAAGCCTTAAGAACCTGACTTGTAAGCTCTCCTAAGTTATGTGTAATGCGCGCGCCAGCCCAAGATGGAACCCTCAGCTTTTAATAAGCTAATTGTAGAAGGGACATATTGTGACTTTTGCCATATTCTTTAGGTCACCCAGACCAATCCTCTTGCATTGTAGGAGGGGATTAAACAAGGGTGTGAATACCAAGAAGTGGGGATCATTGGAGGCCATCTCTGAGGCCTCCAGTACATTTTAAGTAATTCTGGTAAAAATGACTAATATTAGCTCATACTAAAAGTTGCTTCTTTCTGCAAATTTAGGTAGAGAGAACAGATGTTCCAGTAAGAAAATAGAAAAGAGATCCTGACCAACCTAGCACCAGGCTGGCCTCTGCAGACCTAGACCTTAGACTGGCCAGGAGAGCAGAGTGCCCACGTTAAGCACCACATTTAACGCTGATGGCCAGTATCTTCTCTCCTGTTGATCTGAGCCCTTGTTCCGTATCTCATGCTCTTGACCTGGGTTTCTGATCCCAGGGTCTGACTCTGCTGATTTGAACTTACTGCCTTGACCTGCAGAACCTCCATCACTTCTCACTCCTGTTCTTGCTCCACATTCTTAGAACTGACCTCTCTGGACCTGACTTCTCTGTCCTGCCTGCCTTAGGCACTGATACTTCCTCCTAATCTGGCTGAAATGTCCCTCTCTCTCGCCTCACACACCATGGTCTAGCCTGGCACAATCTGTCTTGATGTAGAATATCCATTGTTTCCTTCAGCCTCTCTTTTGGTGCAAAAATGAATGCAGTCAGTCTGTACCATTAAATATATTCCCTTTAAAGAAAAGATTTAAAATTGTCTATATACTATCTTTATATTTAAAAATATTTTGTCTTACTTTTTTATTATTCTATTTGTTTGTTCCTTCACTCAATGATTCCAACTGATATTATTTGCCTACCATGTGTCCCCTGCTTGAAACCTCCCAACCCTGTTAATACATACCATTCCTCTTCATCCATAGTGGAGTCTATTTCCTCTCTCCTTATATCTGGCTGGCTCTGACCAACTGAATGCAGAAAAAGTGGCATCCTGCTAGTTGTAAACCTGGCACCTTTGGCATTTGCTTTCTTGAGGTTTCTGAGCTACTATGTAAGAAGTCCAACCTCCCTGTTGAAGCAAAAGAGGCGACTGAGGCACCAGACATGTAAGTCAAACATCTTGGATCCTCCAGCCCCAGTGAGGTGGTTCCAGCCAACACCACATGGAACAGAGACCAGCAGTTCTGCCCAGATTGCAGAATTAAAACAAAGAAATGGCTTTTGTTGTTTTAAACCACTAAGTTTGGGGGTAATTTGCAATATGTTAACAAACATGAAACTTCAAAACAAACAAATATGAAACTTGTAAAGTAACACAAAAAGTATACCGAGGGCAAAAGAGCCAACTTCTAGACCTATCACCTGTTCTCAATACTGGATGGCATTGAATTTGATTAAAAATGAAGTTAATTGGTTTCAGTAAAGCAGAAGACTCAGAGTCTAGTTTATAGGGAATTAAGGAGAACTGAAAAAATAAAAACATGCAAGTAGACAATAATCATTCAGAAATTAGTGTTAACAGAGTGGTTCCCACCCCAACTATATCTTACAATAGCACTTAGAATAGGCACCTGGGACTCCTTTGAAAATAAGTATGGGTTCCTGGGTCCCACCCTTTAAGATCCTGTTTTAAATAATCTTGGGTAGAGTCAAGGATAGTGTTCTGAGATGCTTCTAAAGGTTAGAACCACAAATTGTAAAGAATAAAAGTAAGCCTGTAGCTGAAAAGTCCAATGGTGGTAAATTAAGGTTTTGGAAGATCAGATTATACTGGAAGTTCCAGGAAAGAGCTGGTGACGAAAATAGGGTTATAGATTTGGAGAGAAAGGAAATAATCAAAAGAACAGCAAAGAGAGAAAAGTACCAAACATACATGATGTGTTGATTGGGTTTCTAAAGAACTTGCAAATGTTGCTTGAAGCCTCATGAATGAAACTATTGCATGCATATAAAATAATGTAAAAGGATGTAAACCTAATTGGAGCACAGAATATTTTGGGGATGGAGGTTAGAAGGCACTTTTACTTATTTGGTCGTTTTTTCCAGAGAGAGAGAGTATTACCTTTAACAACTGGAGAAGAAAGAAAGGAAGGGAAGGAGGGAGGGAGGGAGGGAGGGAGGGAGGGAGGGAGGGAGGGAAGGAAGGAAGGAAGGGAGAGGGAGAGGAAGGAAGGAAGGGAGGGAGGGAGGGAGGGAGGGAGGGAGGAAAGGAAGGAAGGCAGGGAGGGAGGGGGAGAGAAAGAAAGGAAGGAAGAAAGGGAGAGGGAGAGGGAGGGAGGAAGGAAGGAAGGAAGGAAGGAAGGAAGGAAGGAAGGAAGGAAGGAAGGAAGGAAGGAAGGAAGGAAGGAAGAAGAGCCCCTCCCTCTTGGATGTGGCTGGAACTGAAGGTCATGCAGGGCCAGAGACACCATGGACTCTGGATCCAGAGCAGCACAGAGGTGGTGAATAATAGCTCTTCAAATCTGCAATAAAAAATGGCCTCCAATAAAACTACATTGCAAAAAATGGGAAAGAAACATAACAGAAAGAGTAAAAAAGTTGAGGAGGCAGAGCCTGAAGAATTTGTAGTAGAAAAAGTGTTGGACCTACGAGTAGTGAATGGGAAGGTGGAGTATTTCCTGAAGTGGAAGAGATTCACAGATGCTGACAGTACTTGGGAACCTGAAGAAAATTTAGATTGTCCAGACTTAATTGAAGCATTTCTTAATTCTCAGAAAGCTGGTAAAGGAAAAGATGGTACAAAAGGAAAGTCTTTACTTGACAGTGAATCTGATGATAGCAAATCAAAGAAGAAAAGAGGTGCTGGTGATAAACGAAGAAGCTTTGCCAGAGGTCTTGATCCTGAACAAATAATTGGTGCCACAGACAGCAGTGGAGAATTAATGTTTCTCACGAAGTGGAAAGATTCTGAGGAGGCAGATTTGGTGCTTGCAAAAGAGGCAAATATGAAGTGTCCTCAAATTGTAATTGCTTTTTATGAAGAGATACTAACTTGGCGTTCTTGTCCAGAAGATGAAGCCCAATAATTGTTTGTGTTGCTTTATATCTCTGTGTGTGTGTGTGTGTGTGTGTGTGTGTGTGTGTGTAAAATCTGGGTCCTCGTATTTTTTATTTATTAGCGTGAAGAAATAACTACATTCTGATAAAAATAAAGTTTGATATGTTTGTTTTGAAGTAGTTCTCAGGGAGTTGTTGTGGGGGGTTGCATCTATAGTACTAGTTACTTTGGAACAAAAGCTGTCCGTAGTTGCTTCCTTGATATCAGAAGAGAACATATGATACCATGATATATTCTTTCCTCTGCATTAGAGAACAGCTTTCCTAAATGTTGGGGTCAACCTCCATTGTCGTAAGGATCATTGTGGGTTTTTTGTTTACTTGGTGGGGAATGGTTGGTATGTATACATATGTAAATGTAAATGGCTTTCCTTTTTTTTTTAAACCAAAACAAAAACAGCATTTCACAACCATAGATAAGCTCATGTTTCTGGGCTGCCATCATTTTCAGCAACCTAAGAAATAAATCACTTCAAGTTAAATTAAATTTTTCCTGAAGATTTAACCGTTGAATTTAAATAGATAACTTGTAATTAATTGTGCAATTTATACATAATGTAAGCAGTTAAAATTGGAAAATTTGAAAGCAGCTATATCAGAATCCATGTCCATATCTACAATTATAAATGCAAGTTTATTTGCAAAACCTCTGAAAGGAAAATCTTAACTACCGCTCCCAAATGAGAAAATTAGGCAAACTTTGGTATGTTTTAATTAGTCAAACAAGACTTATTTAAAGGTTTCACCTAGTAAGTCGTTTTTTTTGAAAAAAGTTAAAATCTTTATGTTATATTGACTAAAAGGTTATGATCATGGAATGTGTTAGGCTTTATTCATGAAAGCCTAATCATATCGTTAGAGACCTTGGCAATTTAGACCTGCTGGAATACATGGGTGAACAAACTTTTGTAATCTAAAGTCTTGACCTGCATGTTTTACTCCAACTCAGTCCTTACATGTAGGCTCAGTGTCAGTACTTGGGTTACTGGTTCAGTAGAAGCCAGGAAAAACAATAACTTTGTAGTTAACAGAATGTTATCCAACTGTATATTGTTTACTTTATTGTAAATCCTGGCAAACAGTGGTCAATAGTTTTATATGGCAAAAAAAGAGAGAAAGAAAGAAAGAGAGAAAGCATTTGAAAGAATTAAATAATTTTTAATAATCATTATAGTCCTATTAAATTTTTAAAAATATATTAAAATGTGTAAACCCAATATTGTTGGGACTAAGATAAAATAATATATTGGAATATGAATGTAAAGTCATAAAGCCATTCATACTCTTTGGCCTAATTCCACTTTAGGATTATACCTCAAGGAAATGACTAGAAAGAAAAGAAATAGTTTGTACAAAGATGGTCATAGAAATGCTATTTATAATCCTGGAAAGTTGGACAAATCTCAAAAGTTCAACAATGCAGTAAGGCTAAGCAAACTGCATTATCAAGATGGAAAACTACGGAACACTGGCTAGTGGGAGGACTAAGTGGATACATGGAAATGCTAAGTTCAATAAAAAAGACAACAAAATCCCTATGTGTGGATGGCAACTTGCAAAACAGAAATATATGAAATAACGAAAGATCAGAGAATAATATTCAAGGGTGTAAACTGTTATAACTTAATATCCTTTCTCCATTAAACTGGTTAAAGTCTGGACTTTTTTAATGGGTGCTGGGGGAGGGGTATAGAATTGAGGGCTTGCCTTAGCAGAATGAACTGCCCACTGGGCTTCTTTTAATTTCCTGTGCCTGAGAATACCAGTGTTCTCCCCTTGCAGCAATGTGGTTTAACATCCACAAAAATAATGGGGAGAGTTGATTTTAATCTGTGACATAAAGCCAGTGTTTTGCAAAAATGGGTGCAGCAAAAGCTATTCCAGAAAATATGACAAATGCAAGTTAATAGAGGACATTCTTTTTCTTTCCTTTTCATGCCAACCAAGTGATAGCATATATTTATTAAATTACTTTATAGCTAAAGAGAATGGAATGTTTAAGTTCTTTAAAAATATGAACTATCTCAAACATACCAAGAAGCAGAGAAAGTAATATAAACATCCATAAACTCAACACCCAGATTTAGCCAATCTGAATATCTGGAAATCCTTTTAGTATCCCTCCCTAATCCTATTCATTTCCCTTTCTCCTCAAAGGTAAAACTATTTGGATCCTGGTGTGTGTCCTGCCTTTATATCTTAAAATATCTTTACCACATAAGTGTAACTCTATAAATAAAACAAAATGTCATTTTGCTTATATGAAAATTAAAATGGCATCATAATATATATACTCTTCTGCAACTTGTTTTCATTTAACATTGCTTTTGAAATATGTCTGTGTTAATGTTAGCTTAATTAATGTTGTTTAATAACATTTTTAAAATTATTAATTTTATTTTAAATACAAAAAATTAAGTAATGTAATAAACACTCATATACTTAAGACAAAACTTCATCATACATTAGTATTGTCCTATAATGCATATTAGTATAGTAAAAAAAACCCCAGAATTCACAGATACATTTGTAGTCCCCTGAACCTCTTTCCTTGATCTTAGCACTCACCTTCCCTTCCTAGACACACAAATTTAGTTATTTTAATTCCCATGACTATTTCAATACTTTTCTTACTTATTTGTGATCCATAACAAAATAGTTGTTTTTTTAATGTTTTTTAACATTTTTATTTATTTATTTTTAGAGAGAGAGGAAGGGAGGGAGAAAGAGAAGACGAGAAACATTGGCACAACCCAAGCATGCTGCCTGACTGAGAATCGAATCTGTGACCTTTCAGTTTGCAGGCTGGCGCTCAGTCCACTGACCCATACCAGCCAGGGCTAATGTTCTTAAATTTCATAAAAATAATATACATGCCTTTATCTACTTGATTTTTTCACTTATCATGTTTCTTAAATTTAACCATGCTGACAGATGGTAGTAACTCTAGTTCTTGTCAGATGTAGTGTTAATTCATTTATTTTCGTTGCTGTGTATTTTTTTCATCATATGGCTATACCACATATATTTATTGATTACTGTATGATGGGAATTAGATTGTTTCCACTGTTTACTATTATAAATACTCTACAGCTGACCCTTGAAAAACACAGGGGTCACGTGTGCTGACCCCCAGAAAGTCAAAATCCATGTAAAACTTTTTTTCCTGCTCTAGATTGTATTTACTTCTTTACTTACTTATTTAAACTGAATTTATTGGGATGACACTAGTTTGCAAAACCATTCAGATTTCAAGTGTACAACTCAATAAAACATCATCTGCATATTGCATCATGCACCCATCACCCCAAGCAAATCTTTGTGTCCCCATTTTCCACCCCTTTGCCCGCCTCCACCTAGCCCCCATGTCCCTTTCCATCTGGCTATCATCACACTGTTTGTTGTCTGTGTCTATGTTGCTGGGAACCGTCCTGCCTGGTTTTAGGGACTGTAGCCTTACTGACAGGCAAGAGGGCCCCAAGGCTGGGGCTAAGCAGGGAGGCCTTGGAAAAGTAGGCCACTAAGGAGACAAAACTTGTGCCCCTGGCAGGGGTGCAGCCCCTGCTTCCCTCACATCACTCTGCTTGGCCCTGGAGGATGGCTGGTTAGTCAGTGACAGGTAAAACCCCTCGATGGCAGGGGCAACCTAAGACAGGCACCACAGCATGGGGGCCATCAGGGAAGGACTTGGGGGACATGAAGAAGGGGAAAAAGACCCTCACCCCTCAGCTTTGATATTCTATCTGAGTCCTCATTCTATCTGAAAGCAGTCTCCTTATCTCTTGGCAGCTCTGCCCCACCCAGCTGGCTTGGGCTTGAAACAATACTAAAGGCAGGTACAGCCCTAAACTGGATTGGGCAGTTCCCAAGGAAAATCAGGCCTAGAAGTAAGTTCCCTGATGCATGCTTTGGTCTTCCCTCAAAAGCTATGATCACTGGCTCCTGCTGGGAAGGAAATTTACATTATTCACAGACCCCGACCTGAGGCAAATCTCTTGTGTTCCTTCAACTGTTATCTATGATCTCTGTTTTCTGTAAACATAGCCTTTTGGCATTGATTGTTGAGCTTTGCATCCATACCCCTGCGCACAGGGTTCTCAAAAAAAGCCACTTCAAGAAAAGGGCTAGGGGCATTTCTCCACTAGAGGTAACTGCCACCCTTTCCCTTGGCAGACCAAGAGAAAAGTGTCTGGGACAACCTATTTCCCCATCCGTGACAACCTGGAGTGTACTCTGTGGGACAGAGTCCACCCTCCACCTCACTAAGTTTTTATGTATATTTGTTTTTTGGCTAGTGCCTTCACCTTCTTTCATCCAGTACCCCCTCTCCCCTCCTCACTGACAGCTGTCAGTCTGTTCCATGTATCCATACCTCTGTTTCTGTTTGGCTGGCTGGTTTATTTTGTTCATTAGATTACACATATAAGTGAGATCATATGGTATTTAACTTTTGTCTAACTGGCTTACTTCACTTAGCATAATAATCTCCAGGTCCATCCATGCTGTGGCAAAAGGTAAGATTTCCTTCTTTTTTACAGCTACATAGTATTCTACTGTGTAAATGTACCACAGCTTTTTTCTTACACACTCATCTACTGATGAGCACTTTGGCTTCTTCCAAAACTTAGCTATTGTAAATAACACGGCAATGAACATACAGGTGCATATACTTTTTCAAATTAGTGTTTTGTGATCCTTAGGATATATTACCAGAAGTGGGATTTCTGGGTCAAAAGGCAGTTCCATGTTTAATTTTTTGAGGAAACTGTACTGTTTTCCACAGTGGCTGCATCAGCCTGCATTCACGCAAACAGTGCATGAAGAGGTTCCATTTTCTCCACATCCTCACCAGCACTTGTTGTTTGTTGACTTATTGAAGATAACCATTTTGACAGGTATGAAGTAATATCTCACTGTGGCTTTAATTTGCATCTCTCTAATAATTAGTGATGTTTAAGATTTTTTGATG